CACAGATCGCAGAGGAGGAGAAGGAGAGGCCTACCTAGAGCCGGATCCGCCACCAACGCCACTGCCATGGCCGGTGCGGGCGCGGGGAGGCGCGCTGGGCACGGGCACGGACGCCGGGGCGAGCTCGCTGGTCGCCATCGCCAAAGCCGGTGGTCACTGGCGAGAAATAGAGAGGGAGAGAAAGAGAAAAAATCCATGTATTTTATTTTGCCAAAACATATGTGTGCTAGCATTCGTGAGAGCAGGCTATCGCTGCTTCTGCAAGTTATTCCGATCGTCTGCAGCATCACTATGCGAGCTCATTTGGACATCCGATGGAGACGTGGAAGCTAAGACTTCCATCGAGCGTGTACTGTTGGGCGTGGCCTGAGGGGTGCCGATCCGTCGGACAATAATTTATGAGAAAATTTCCTATCTGAAACTGGTAAATAGTGCTTTCTTATTTGACATCCAAACTCAAATTATTTCCGATCTGTCACCGTCTCAAGTTTTTCTTTTCTATTTGACACTTCCGTTAGTTTAGAGTTATAACTGTATTAAGTCTTAGAGGAAAAGACCATTTTACCCATGTAGTTTTTTTTTCCAAGTTATGGCATTCCCTTTTGCTGCCTATTGGTGTCTTTTTCTGGATGCTTTTATTTTCAACGGTTATGTTTTCCTTTTTTTAATTGCTTCTGTAGAATAAAGGAGGAACCAACATCATCTTATAATTACTTACAATTATGTAGAGTTTAATACACAAATTAAAGGATGGACGGCTCAGGATAACCTGCACGTATACTTTTATTTTTAAGACATTTCTTCTTTAATTTTCAAAGGAAAAAATAGTGTATATGTCATCATCATGACGTCATGGCTCAAGAGTAGACCATGGACGACGACTGCAGCTAGAACCTGGACATCGACGTGCTGTCGCGGACGCTCGATGAGACATAGCCTGGAGAAGCTGCACCAGCGTAGGGCCGTCATGGAGCGAGAGCGAGGTGAAGGCCGTGAGAGAGGCCAAGGCCAAGGTCGACGGAGACGCGGCCTGTCATCTATTTGCTCAAAGGGTATTTCAGTCTTTCCTGGTTGTCCCATTAGAAGATTTAACAGTACTACCTAACAGAACTAACGGAAAATGAAAAACTTGAGACAGTGATGAATAGGAAAGAATTTGAAGTTTATGTGCCAATTAAGAAAGTAGTACTTTTCTTAGTGTTAAATAGGAAATTTTCTCATAACTTAAATTTATATTAATTATAAATAGGGTTTTTTTTTCTAAGAGTATAAAGTATTTTTTTAAAGACTAATCATCCATTGGGCTTTCCTAACTCTTAGTTAACAATTAGCCTTATTTATTTAGCTATTTATTTGACATCAACAAACCCATGCGATCCAATCGCTCTCGTGTTGAACCAAGTAGTCGGTGCTTAAATATATGTTGTTTTCGTTTTTCGATAAATAACTTTGACTAAATATATATTAAAAAATATTAATATTTATATTACATAATTAATATTATTAGAAAAATCTTTGAATCTAGTTTTTTAATAAATTTATTTAAAAATATAAATATTGCATATATTTTTTTTTATAAATAAGTAAAACTTACGGTACGCACTCTGAGAGAGTACGCGGACTGTTTGGATGCCAGCCATAAAGTGCCACAGCAAAGTAATAAGTGTGGCTGCCACAAGCTGTGGCGTGGCAGCTGGTGGCATAGAACCAAACTGTTAGAATAATCTTTTTTTTTTTTGAACACACAGCAAGAAAAAACTACGCCGAAAAGATCTCGGTTCTGTCGCCGCTGCAGTGGTAGACGTTGAACGGCTCATCTATCACTGTAGCCACATGTAGAGACAAATACATAGAAGTCAATTCTACTGTGTTATCTATACTTATTTACACCATATGTGCGCTGTACTAGGACTACTCCGTAGATAGATAGAGTTGTAGAAATAGACTACTACGATAACTCAGTAAATGAGTTTAGATTTATCATCTCTCATACAAAGCTTCGGCCAACGCTGATGTCTTGTACTGTGTATATGCTATGTTCTCCCTTTTCTTAAACCTTTAGTCATAAATGTATGTATGTTTTGTTCTTAGCTACTTTTAACGGAAACCTCTAAAACATAGATGATATGCGATCTTTTGGACGATAATTAACAATGCTCGTTCGTACGTCAAAATGTGTAATTAGTTATTTTTGCTTATCAGACTAACGGACTCATAAAACTAACGGATACTCGATAAAACTAGAGAGCGGTTCGCTGGTGATCCTGTGGGCTGACACAAACACCCTCAGAGCGAGGGAGAGCGCCAGAGGCCAGAGCGGCGTGGTGACGTCCCTCGTTGTCTGCGCCATTCCAGCGATGCCAGACGACGTGCAGAGCCGGCAGGGAGCACGCTACTGCCCCACTTTCTGGCCTTTCCTGCTCCTGCCAGAATCCTACCGTTTCGCTATCCTCTTGCAGAAATTTTTGCTGCACGCCCCCAACGGCCCACCACGATTGATTGGCATGCACGAAACCCCGTTTTTAGCCCGTTAGGAAGCACGGTTTTTCGATATCGGGCCCGGGATTTTTGTTTATATTCGATAATTATTATCCGTGGGCGGCACGGCATGGCCCAACAAGCGCCAAAAGATTCCGGCTTTACCGTAATTTACAATCGCCCTCCCTCCCCAAGTGTAATTAGTTATTTTTATCTACATTTAATACTCCATCCCTCACGCCTCACCGTAAAACCTTTGATGTGCCGCCATTCCCTCTCCGAAAAAAACTTGGAATCTAAACAAGGCCCCTTGATCACGCTTTGCCATCCCATTTGTGCTGTGCTGTGCCAGCGGAGTGGCGGACGCAAATCACGCTGGGGCTACTGGGGCCTGGCCGCCTGGGCTATGGGCCTATGGTATGGTATGCCGTAGCACTTTGTCACTCGTCAGAAACCTATAGTTCTACTATCGCAAAGACCAAAGATCCCTGAGCCACGTCGCGTGGGTCTAGCGTTTCCCTCCCCTCCTCGCTGGCGCCCGTCGCCCGTCGCCATCTCCGGATGACCGGATGTCCAGATCGCCGGATGGACGCGCGCGCCACGCCGGGCGGGCCTGCCTTTGCCTTTATCATTTGCGTGTCTGTCCATCATCAACTCGACACGCATATTATGCTCCGCGGCGCCCACCGGCAACGTATGCGCTCACTGCCCCGTGGGACTGTCGGCATCCTTTAGCGCGCGTGTAGTTCCAAAAAAATTTCGCAAAAAAATGCTGACAATAGTATACCAACGGCGGCCATCGATTGATTGATCACGCTTATTGTGCTGTGCTGTATTAAATGTGGCGGACGCAAATCAATTTGGGGCTACTGTTTGATTGGAAATCGCAAGATAAGCCTATGGTTTTGCCGTAGCACTTTGTCAATCGTCAGAGACCCAAGTTCTAAAAAAAAAAAAGACCAAAGATTCAAAGCCTAACCTTCCCCTCGACTAAACAAGGGCTGAGGAACGTTGGGTAGGGGCGGCGATGGGACGGTTGCGCCGCCGGAAGCGGAGAGCATCTCCCGGGGTCCGTTCGATTCCCGTGGGAGGAAGGAGACACGGGACACGTGGGCGAGGACGGGTACGACGAAGATCTGCGGGCCGCAGGCCCCGCGTGCGAGACATGGGGTCGTCGTCCTGCTCGTACACTACAGTCTACAGTCCCCTGCGCCGTGCTGTACTGTGCGCGTCTGCTGCCCAAGCACAGTGATGGGGAACAGATCATTAATCATAGGGGCCATTAATCATACGGTGACACTGACGCTGCTGGTTCTCTCTCTGGTTGGTTAAGATGCAGCAAGTTAATGGCGTGACCGTATATGGCATCACAAGAGCATAGACACGGCAGAGGCAAGTTAGGAGAAGACACCAAACGCAAGAATTAACAAAGTACGTACATAGAATGAATGCCAAATGGATTGAGGAATTGGTCCCTGGAACTCTATGGGGAACAGACCGGTTAATCATATTGGTTAAAACCGTTCTTGGTGATGCTTGACCGTATATGGCATCACAAGAGCATAGACACGGCAGAGGCAAGTTAGGAGAAGACACCAAACGCAAGAATTAACGGATAGTTGTATAACATTTGATGAGCTGTAATGATTTCTGGCTAAATCCGGACTAACCCAACAAAGCCTAAAAGGGACCTGCGATCTTCTTCGTGAAACTTTGAACGGCGTCTGTCGTCTTCGTGATTCGCTGATATAAAATGCTGGTTTCAGCCCATACCCCTGCCATGTGAGGGGTCAGAGAAAGAGGCAATTAAACAAGTGTTGCACGAGACAAACTTTGGAAACAAAAACAATCACACGGTAGAATCAAATAAAGGCATGCCCGCAGGACACCGTTCCTTTTTGGAGCCGCATCAATTCGGTTTTGCTCCTGCTACATGCATGGATCAGGATGGACAAAAGGCAGAGCTAACTGCACCACTCATTACGCCCACTGATACTCGGAAGTGGGAAGCATGGAAACGTGCCAGGAACCCTCAGTTTGTCACATGTGAGTTGTGAGCCCTAGCAGCCTAGCACCACGCTTGCAAGCAGAGAACGCTCCAGATTTCGGAGTGCCAGAGTTTCTAGCCTCTCCCGAGTCCCAATCGTGGCCGAGCCCTGCCATCCTAAAGACCCAGCGGGCAAACGGCCCGGGGCCCTGCCATCCCCAGGGGCCAGGTCGGCCGTGGCAGCCGTGCTGTCCCTCGACGCCTACGCCGCGGACGCGACGTCGCCGCCTGGCATGCACAGCCAGTCCCGCACCCGTCCCGAGGGAGGCCGCGCCCACCTTCCCCTTCCCCCACAACTTCACTACCACCACCACCACGGCTCCACTCCACTGTCCACTCCCCCCATCTCGGCCTCCTCTCCTCGCCTCTCCCCCCTCGCCTGTCGCGAAACGATTACCCGACACGGGTCCCCAACCGAGATGACGGTTTAGCCGGAGACGGAGGGAGGGGCGGGGGGAGAGTTTGAACCAGCGCAATGCCGGCGCCAGCGAGCGGCGGCGGCGGGGACCACCTCCGCGGCCATGCGCACCTGACCAACTGCATCCACCTGCGCCACCACCACGGCCCGCACGGCGCGTCCGGGCGGAGGCGCAGCCCGACGGGGTCCTCGGCGTCGGCGTCGGCCGCGCTGATGCGGGACCTCCTGGCCCTGCAGCGTTCGCGCTCGCTGCGGGACCCCTCCACCCGCCGCTCCGTCGACTCGGCCCCCTCCAACAACAACAACAGGGTCGCCGCCGACCCGGACGCCGACGACCCCGACCACCCCCGCGGCGGCGGCGCGCTCAAGACGCTCCTCGACCAGCTCACGGAGAACCCGCAGCCCAAGCCGGGCTGCCGGCCCCGGCGCCGGTTCAAGCGAGGGGCCGCCCGCCGCGCCGCCGCCGCGCAGCCCGCGGCCGCCTTAGATCGCCGCGCCACCGCGCCCCGCGTCTCCGTCAACTCCAGCTCCCAGGAGGCCGTCTGCGGCAATAGGTACCTCTTCGGCGCCGGCGGAGCAGCCGACGGCGACGAGCTGATGCAGCAGCATCAGCAGGTGTCGCAGGAGTCGCCCAACGTGTGCGGCATCCCGTGGAACTGGTCGCGCATCCACCACCGCGGCAAGTCCATCCTCGACATGGCCGGCCGGAGCCTCTCGTGCGGCCTGTCGGACCCCAAGTCGACGTCGGCGGCGCGGAGGTCCGAAGCAGCCACCTCCGCCGCCTCGTGTGGTCACGCCAACAGGTCGCGTTCGCACCCGCATTTCCCGGTCACCGCGAGGCTCACTTCCTCGAGCAGTTCAGACTCCGACTCTCGGCCTCTGCTTGTCGACGGCATACGCAACGCCGTCGACATTTCTAGTAGCTTCTCTGGGGAGCTCGGGATTTTCTCCAAGAGTAGCGAGCTGGACTCTGACCTCGCGTCCGAGGCACGGTCGGGGCAGAAGTCACGGGGCTCGCACCGTGTCAGACACCGGAGCTTGACACAGAAGTATGCTCCAAGGACTTTCAAAGACGTCGTCGGGCAGAGCTTGGTCGTGCAGGCGCTGTCCAATGCCATTCTGAGGAAGAAGATTGGGCTGGTGTATGTCTTCTATGGGCCACATGGCACAGGCAAGACCTCGTGTGCCAGGGTATTTGCAAAGGCTTTGAATTGCCATTCAGCTGAGCACCCGAGGCCCTGTGATTCATGTGCCTCTTGTATTGCACACAATCTGGGCAAGAGTAGGAGCTTGTTGGAGATTGGTCCAGTTGGTAATATAGACCTTGATAGCATTGTGGATATCCTTGACAATGTGATGCTCTCGCCGGTGCCATCCCAGCACAGGGTGTTTATAATTGATGACTGCAACACATTGCCGCCTGATACATGGAGTGTCATATCCAAGGTCGTCGAACGTGCACCTAGGCGTGTGGTTTTTGTTCTCATCAGCCCCAATCTTGATCTCCCTCATATAATCGTGTCGAGGTGCCAAAAGTTCTTTTTCCCCAAACTAAAGGAGTGTGACATTATCAACACTTTGCAATGGATTTCTACTAGTGAAGGCCTGGATGTTGATAGAGATGCATTGAAACTTATTGCTTCCCGGTCAGATGGGTCACTGAGGGATGCCGAGATGACTCTCGATCAACTCAGCTTGCTTGGGCAGAGAATTTCGATGTCACTTGTTCAAGAACTTGTAAGTTATCCAACAACAGTCTTTAATTAGGGATAACTATAGCTTGGTATACTTCTTTGTTCCCTGAAATTCTTTTTTTTTGCTTCATTGCTAAACATTTATAACATGGAAGAACTTTAAATTACTAAACAACCCAACAATCTTTAATTAGGGGTAACTATAGCTTGATATAGTTTTGAATGTACTTGAGGTATTGGCCCACATACCCGCTTGACATGTTGAGTGCATGACTATTTTGACAAATTTACTAAGGCCCTGTTTGGGTCCTTGGAATTGAAATCCATTCTAATAATCATAATTTAGGCGCAGCTCAATTAAGCTAATATGGTTATATGGGGAATATATTTGTATACTACTGTTGGCCATATGAGGGAGATACCTATGTGCTGCATTTCTGTTTTAGGAGAGCAAGCCAAAAGGCAAAGAGCGTGCTATAAGTTGTAGAGTAGAAACCTAGCATGGTGATCTATATAATCAATTTCCATCTCCCATCCTATGAATTTAAGATAGGCTTATATATGAACTTTGGAAAGTTGTGGAATGTCAAATTCCTAGCCAAATAGTCTAGTCCATTAAGTAGATTCCTATTCCTCCAAAATGAAAGGATCCAAATGGCCCAAAAGTGAAAAAAACTGTCTTTCTGCATTTTTCAGAATAACTGCCAGGAATGCATTTAAGATTATATAAAGGGTTCTAACCCGTATAGAAGAAAAACCAGGGTCACAACAGGAAACATTATAATGCAATCTTGAATTCTTCATTTGAAATTTACCTGACAGCAGCAAGCAATACATTGTTTCCTTTTCCACAGGTTGGCTTGGTTTCTGATGATAAATTGGTTGATTTGCTTGATTTAGCACTATCTGCTGACACAGTGAACACAGTGAAAACCTTGCGAGATATCACAGAAACAGGTGTTGAGCCACTGGCCCTGATGTCTCAACTTGCTACAATAATCACTGACATCCTTGCTGGCACCTATATATTCACACGAGAAAGAGTTCGGAGAAAATTCTTCAAACGTCCAACCTGTAAGCAACATTGCTATTGCTCATTAACAAATTCATACTTCAACCTTTTCTAGTACTACTAATAGATTGTTTATTTGTTTAAGAATATATTTCCCCTATTTACCTGTTTAGTTAAATCTCTTCTTTGCAACAAGAATGAAATACAGTGTTAGTAACACTGCTGCACTAGTTTTGTCTATCAAGTTTCTCCTTTCTTACAATCAGTCTTTCCAGTGTAAATATTTGTATCCCCCACATCATTGTGAAAAGATTTATATTCTGATTTCAGTATCAAAGGATGATATGGAAAAGCTACGCCAAGCCTTGAAAACACTCTCTGAAGCTGAAAAACAGTTGAGGGTCTCTAATGACAAGATGACATGGCTTACAGCTGCTCTTCTTCAGCTTGCACCTGATAAACAATATGTATTGCCGAGTTCATCCCCGAGTACAAGTCTTAATCAGGGTCTGTTTACCCACCCCGAGGGAGACATAGCAAGGAACTCTGCTATGGATCATAGTGATATATATGCTGGTGCCCATGGCTTGGCAAGAGCATCTGACCTTGGAAATCAGCAGTACAAAGATGCTAATCTAGTGGCTGGTTCCAGCAACAACATGGCAAACAATTACCATGCTGGAAGGAGACCTGGGGAACATACTCCAGACAGCCATGTATTGCCAACAGGTGCTACCAGAGTAAATGAAGGATCTAGGTATGGCAAAACTGACAGTGAAATGATTTGGCAGGCTGTGCTAGAGAATGTTCAGTCAGATTCATTAAGAAGATTGTTAGCTAGAGAGGGTCGACTGATATCCGTCAGCCTAGGCACAGGTAAGACACTAAGACTGACTAAAAAAGTTAGCCCTCTATGACTGTAACATTTCAAAGATGTCTTCTGACATTTGCTTTCATGTCGTCATGCAGCTCCAACTGTACAATTAATATTCAGCTCTCGAGTAAATAAGTCTAAAGCCGAGAAGTATAGGGGCCAAATTCTGCAGGCATTTGAATCTGTTCTTTCTTCTACCATAATACTTGAAATCCGATATGAATCAAAGGATGATCTGGCAGCAGGCCATGCTCCAGTTATTACTCCCTACCCTGAGGATGGTTCCTCAAATATGGTATTAAGGAGGTCTTTTACTAAACATAGTTCAGTTTCTTCGGGAGGCGAGAACTTAACTAGAAGGCTTCAGAAAGATAGTGTGGTCCAGGTTGGTAGCTCAAATCAGACACGCTGGATGCAATCTGATCCACATATATTGACCGAAGGTGAAATTATTGAAATTGGATCTCAAATGGATTGGCGTGCTGAACCAGATAGTGGCATTGTTATGGCAAACAGAAGACAAGAGACTGTCTCGGGAGAAGGTTTGTCATCACAGAATCAAGAAATTTCTCAAGGAGGAAAAATGGTGAATAATGGAGATGGTCGACAAAAGAACATTGTGAGAGGCAAGGTATCTCTTGCTCATGTTATTAACCAGGCAGATGCTTGTTCCCAACAAGGTGGCTGGTCTAGACACAAAGCTATATCAATTGCAGAAAAGCTGGAGCAAGATAATTTGTAAGTATTCATGTTTGTTCAACTCTCTAATGCTATTTGTAGGTATAGATATCCATCCACTGCACTTGTGGTTGGTATCTAGTATGTGTGTAATGCAAGTTTGCAAATGAAAATGGCCACAAATACCACACAGTCAGTAATAAGTATTAGACCAGTGAGGCCTAACTTTGATCCATGCTATGTGGAATAATGTTACAAGAGTCATTGTATGTGCAAACATATCCATGCCATGTGGAATACTATCAAGTACTACTATTCTGCACCCAAATTATGTATGTGAAGCAACATAGTTTTCAATCATCAGAAGATGACTTCTGACGAAATTTTTGAATGTTGATCTGTTTGCAGGAGATTGGAGCCTAGATCCAGTTTGCTTTGTTGGAAAGCTTCAAGCACTTCTAGACGGAAGGTAATGATTTTGTAGCCATCCTCAGGCCAACATATCTTTTCATTATTTTCCTCTCCTTAAAGAACCAGTGACTAGGTGTCGTTTATCATTTCTTAATTGGGTGCCATGATAATAAAATGAAAAAATATGGTCACAAGTCACATGGTTAATTGGCTATATGCCTATATATGGCCAAAAAAAATGCAGGGTGGTTTGATACTTGTTGGCTGGTCCCTGCTGCACTAACTGTTCTTGAAGAGTATTATTGTATTCATTGTTCATGTATATTCTTTCTCTATTGTCGATCTTCTGATACATATGAAAAACCTGAGCCAAATAGTCAAGATTATTTTTTCGTTAGACTGCAGTAACTGTAAGAAGTTGTATCTCTTTTAGTTAGACTGCAAACGTTGTATTGTAAACTTTGTCAACATGTTTTTCTTGTGGAGTGCAGATTTTTAGTGCCCAGGGACGCTGGCGTCTTTGTTAGCTAAAATACCATGTTGCAATGTAAAAATATCATAAAAATCATGTATGTAGCACACATAAAGTTAAATAAGGTGCGACAATTCAGTTTGAAATTCATCCTAGATGTCAAGAAACAAAATAGACAAGCAGTCAACCTGGCACTGTTCATCGTATGCTGACAGTAACACCTTTTTTTTTTTTTAATCTCAACATCAAAGATGAATTTCAAACTGAATTGTTGTGGCTACACTTAACTTTAGGCGTAATACATACATGATTTTGTGATGATTTTTTGAAACATTACAACATGATCTTTTAGCTAAATAGGGTGTCAGACCCCTTGCGCGCCATATAATTTTCCTTTGTGTTTGTGCTGACATTTTCCACTCTTTCTGACCGGCACAATCATTTCCCCTGCAGCTGTCTGCACTGAAGATCAGGACACGAAGATCGCGAGCTTTATCAAGGCTCGCCTTGTGCGGAAGGTGTATTTCAGTGAGATCTCCAAGATGAAACATTAGGGGTCAATCGCCCCAGATTTTACGTGTAGCTAACTTAGTAGGGCGTCCACAATTTATTCTCTGTAATTGTGTAACATGTGGAGACAGATAAACACCATAGCCCATTCTTTCCAGTGAAACACCAGAAATAATTGCTCCATAATTCGCTAATCCGAAGCCAAGCCAAGGCCTATTGACCCTCTGTTGTCGTTGATAAAAATAGGGCATGGGAGACTACGATGCTTGCGGCTGCGAGCACCAGCAAGCGTTCCGAGGCGCCGCTGTATTTTCTTATACATAGGGCGAATTACGTCATATATATATTCTCTAAAAAAACATGGTATAGTTTTTGTTGGGACCAATAATAATCTTATATAATAGCAGACCTCCAAGGCCTAACATTGTTCTGTCATGCAATACTTTTTATGAGATTTTAAATTTTGATTTGTTTGTAGGCAAGGTTTCTTTTGCCGAAGACTTTGTTTAGCAAGGTTTCTTTTAGTTATGGCTCCTATGGAGGAGCCTGGTGAAGTAAGAATTATGGTTTTATCGGTTTTAATCCATTTCTGGAAGACCGTGAAAAATGACTCCTTACTATAGTGCATAGCACAATCTCCAACGCAACAGTCGCTTGCCGGTACATCGGTTAGATTCCACGAAACCATCCGTTCGCCACTCTCTTCTGTCAAACGTGAGGCACTCAGTGAGCTGTTTCCCAGCCGCTCCCACCACGGGGCAAGGGCGTCGGCGTCTGGTTGAGAGCGAGCGCCTTGCCTATGGTCGAAAATATGTAACAATGTGTACCTCTTTAAGTCTAGTCCAGTCCTCAGTTGCTTGCCTCAAGCAAGGCCTCGACGAAAAACTCGTAACTCGCTAGTGGTTCGGCTCGAGCTCGGCTCATTTGAATTGTTAATTAATGAGCCAGCTTGGTTAATTAAGGAAAACAATGATTTTTTAACATCCTCGAAATACTTCGAGATGACAAATATGGTAAAGGCTTGTTTAGGCAGTGCGTACGCTTGACGCACGACACACATGTGGCCCCGCCTTGTCCGTGGCTCATGGTGGTCTTTATATTCACACTCAGCCACCGCACGCCTTGTCCTCATCTCGTCCTCCACCCACCTCGTCTTTCTCTATCTGGACTCTTTGAGAGAGCAATCTATCCGCACACCCTTACGTGCCTTGCTTCTCAGATTGGCCGTTAGAAGGGCATTAAAGTTATCATCACATCACAGAGATATATAAGTGAACTGGATGTATGCAAGCCTTCCGAGTTTCGATGTGTACCTGTACTCTACTGCCTAACTATTGGAATGAACCTACTTTGGTACTCTATTTATTTTCCATGAGCAAAATTTGGTTACTCTATGCATTTTCTTACATCTACAGATTTATTGTTCTGAATGTCTTTTAGATGTCTGTATGCAGTAATTTGCAATTTGCCCTGAAGAAGTCGGTAGCTTGTGTGGCCTTGGCCCCTGTGCTTGTGCTTGTCTGTTTGATTAGCAGTACATGCTGTGCTCCTCTTGTAAGCACGCCCTACCCAGCCTAAGTTGCTGTGGTTTGTGTGCGGCACGCACACTCTGCAAAAACACAAACGGCGGATTAGCAGTACATGCTATCTGTGCAGCAGGTAGTCGGACTTGTGCTGCTGACTTGCTGTGCAGAATTGCTCATTGTACTCACTGGATAGTTGAGTATATATCACGACGACGATAGAGTTTGTTAGGATTACGACTTGTGCACGGGCTTGGCCCAATCATGTAATTAAACTCTCTCCATATATATACCATCATCTGTCTCGGCTCGCAACATCCGCTGCAGCCGCCGCGGTGGGCGCCAGTGCCGCCGCTCACCGACGATCACATCTCGGAGACTCTTGCGCGGGTTCTCTACAGGTCGCTCTGCGGCTTCAAGTGTCTCCCGGTCATGGCTTGCCCTCTGCTCTTGTCCCCATATGATCCGCCAGACTCTTTCCGGCCTCTTCTTTGTCAGACACTTTGCCGCCCACTTCCGCTTCGTCAGCATGTTGGGAAGAAGATTTCCGCTCATGGAGGGCCCTCTCTTCTCTTTCTTGCCACTCGAAAGCGTAGGGATTGACATCGTCGACAGCTGCAATGGTCTTCTCCTATTCGATAGCCACCACTATTTTCACAATGGACATGGATCTCGCTATTTCGTCTACAACCCTACCACCGGAAACTGGATCGATTTGCCGGACAAAGAACCGATGTGGAGATTCGACCCAGAAGTTACACCCCCCCCCCCATCAGACAAGAACCGCCTTCTTTAATGGCACTTCGCACCTGACAACCTCTGGTTCTTCACCTTCGATAGTCACGGTGGACATGGACGGCAAGACATGGAGAACGATCCCTGCTCCGTGGAATTTTGAGTTCATCGGGCTGTCTTAGGGCTCTATGCTGTGCTCAGGGATGCAGATGATGGTCGTCTATCGATTTGGGCTCTTGAGGACTACGGTGGTCCGTGGTCGGTGGACATGAGTGGATCCTGAAGCATACCACCAAACCGTTTGCACACATAGAGTCTGCAGAGTCTTACGCGGTGCATGCAATCCATCCACAAGATTCTTGTCACTTGATCGTGATGTCTGGCAGCTGGTCTCGTGGTTTTGGACAGGTCATATAAATCTACTTCCGCTTTGGTTATCCCATGCCCCTGCTCAAAGGAAAGCATGTATGCAGATCCTTTCCATGGGTATTGCTGCGCTATTTCAGCGGACCTACTTATTTACTCTATTTGCTTATATATATCTACATTTTTTTTGTTAACACAGTTCTACTTTATTTCTCATGTCGGAAGCATAAATAAACCCATCATCTATGTTTTAAATTCAGTGCTTTTCATATTTGTCGAGACATGATTAATAATCCATCAGAATTTGATAGTGGTCGTGATGACGTTTGTTTGCACAGGGAAGTTTTAACCTCAGTCTCGAATTTGATTGCATACCTCTTCATTGTAAGATATACTAAGATCAGGGCCGTGCCGGCAAAAGTTAAGGCCCTGTTCTAAACACCAAAATTGGCCCTAAGTCCCTAATGGTCTAGAAAAATAGAACGATAATCATATACAATATTCTATAGCACCAACCTATAGTATTGAGTAATTAACAAAAAAATGTTTTCTACAATATAATACAAGACAAACATTGATCCGTCATGCGATACTTTTTATGATATTTTGAATTTTAATCTCTTTGTAGGTAAGGTTTCTTTTGCCTAAGACTCTGTTTGGCAATGTTTCTTTTGGCTCTGGCTCCTATGGAGGAGCCTGGTGGTTTTATCGGTTCCTAGTTCAATAATGAAAGAGGAGAAAAGCGATACCTTACTACAACGCATAATATTCCCTAGAAGCCGAAGCCGTTTTGTGAAGATGAACTCTTTCAAGCAGGGCCTAAACCTAATTCGCTTCCTCGAAAGCTTAAGCACTTCCTTGAAAACAATGATTTTTATCATCCTTGAAATACTTCAAGCTGACATATATGGTAAAGGCTTGTTTAGATGGTGCGTGCGACTAACACACGCACACATGTGGGCCCACCTCGTCGGTGGCTCATGGGTGGTCTTTATATTCACACTCAGCGACCGCACGCCTTGTCCTCCTCTTGTCCTCCACCCACCTCGTCTTTCTCTATCTTAGATCCATGGCTTCCAAGGTCTCCTCCAATGATTCAAGCGGATCCAGTGACCTCAAGTGAGAGATCCAATGACCAGCGACCCCGAGCAAGGTTAGTGGTGAGGGTTTCTGGGTTTAGGGTTTCAGATCTCGAGTTAGGGTTGTTCTATTTTTTGATGGTAAATGGAACTTTGAGGAGGCCGGTAAACCAGTGGTGGTGGTTGTCGAGATGATAGTGGGGCAAGTGGCGAGGACATATCCGTAGGTGGTAGGAGAGCTCGGTTCGACGATGGCGATGGTAGGGGCATCGGCTTGATAGGGTGGAGATAGATGTTGTTATTATGCCTGATTGTGGAGACGATGTTTCATTGCTGGAGTCCAGATGCGAGATGTGGGGGGGGAGGCACTTATGTCGAAAGTTGACAAAGATCGTTAGGATTAGGGGTTGTATTGGTCCCAACAAGGGTGGTGAGGCCAACTGCGAAGAGAGAGAGAGAGAGAGAGAGAGAGAGAGAGAGAGAGAGAGAGGATGGCCAAAAATAAAATTGTTTCCATTTTTGGAATATGTGCATGACTAGTCTAATGCACAACTGACCAACATATATAATTCTAGTTTTTATTCTTTTTCTTCTCAAGTACCCAATAGGTCAGTCTAAGAAGGATGTTGTGAACATTGTCATAAGTCCTATGAGCACTTGGTTAGATACTTTGAAGCTCATTCTTTAATTTCCTTTTGAGTTTTTAGATGCATAGTTGTAACACGGCAAAGCACGACATGGCTTGAAAGTTGAAACTCATTGGCCCACTGCACCAAGTTGTTATAGAGCGTCCTTCATCATGTACACATCTTTGTTAGTAAAAAATCGAGGGGGTGCAAATGGCCAAATAGTTTCAAAATCAATTTTTGAGCTGGATTATGGCTCTATGGACTCTTTAACTCATTAGTAATGGAGCAATAGTGACTGTAAGCAGCTCTGTCCTATTATTTCTCAAATAAAAATGTTTCTGTTTTTGAAGTGTGCACGTGGCTAGTCTAATATTTGGTTGACCGTGCATTAGCTGTGCTTGACATATATATACAAGTTTTTTATTATTTTCCTTCTCAAGAACCTAATAGGTCATTATAAGGAGGATGTTGGAAACATTGCCATAAGTCCTATGAGCACTTGATTAGATACTTAGACCCTCCAAGGCATATCGTTTAAGTGATGCTAAAAGAAGAGAGAGATTATTGGAGCGTCACTCGCTACACAACAACCACCGATGCCAGCGCCGGCAAAATGAGGAGCAGCGTAAGTAGATGCACCGATGCCATCTCTTAAAGAAAAATAGTTTTTTACTGTTCGTCCCAACTATCGTAACATATGCAGGATGAGCTC